TTTTTGGCTACTCCATTTTTTTTTTTTTTTTCTTTCCTCTATGCCAAAGGGTACGCCATTAAGTCGGGCTGATTTAAGGGCCGTCAACATCAACCTCTGTGACATGTGCGTTATCCTGTCAGCCAATCAGAATAATATTGATGATACTTCGCTGCAGGACAAGGAATGCATCTTGGCGTCACTCAACATCAAATCTATGCAGTTTGATGACAGCATTGGGGTCTTGCAGGCTAATTCCCAAGGTAAGGACAGCCTGTAATACTTTTCTCCTGTGCCTACAGGGGACAGGGGCTGGCAAGAGGGATATCCTTCACTCAGTAATTCAAAGAGGCTCACATCAGCCTGCCTGGCAGTGAAACCTGCGGTCACTGCGATGGCTTTCAAAGGGGCATCTGCTGCTTCTTGCCATCCCAGGGAGCAGGCTTAAGACCTGAACACCCACACTCAGAACAAGCTGCCTTCCCAGAGAATAAACCAGCCTTTAAATTGCCCCACCTCAGCCTTCACAAACAGTGATGTTATGACTAGGGTCACCAACTAGGTGTCAGAGCACTGAAAAGATGCTGGCTGAACAATTCTCATCGTTTCTCCCAGAATATATCTTTGCCATTGACCTGTGTTAAGCTTTGCCATTGTTATAACTGCATGATGGTGTTAAGTTTTACATTGTTAAATGCTGACCAAGGGATGGTGATCTCAGGAGACTAGGGACCATATAGACACTAAAAGTCATTTAGCAAGAGGTGAGGCCCATCAGCCCATTCTCTATAGGAGGCACAACAGCACTAAATGACACACATCTGCCATCTCTGCTGTACCATAGTCTTCCCTGTCATTTTCTCTGGATCCTGGGCAGATAGCTACAAGTAAAGATGTCATGTAGGAGTCTCTGAGAGGCAGCACAGCAAAAACCTTGTAACAAATAACCTCACTAATCAGGGCCTTGGCAAGATAGGATATGAAACATTTTCCCTTGAGTAAGACCTCAGTGTAGGCTTGCCATGAACTGTAAGATCATTATCATATGTGATCTACTGGATGGGTGGAATTGGGTGCCTAATGGGGGCCTGACATCATTCCAGGATCAAAGGTAGAGGGAGCACAGCCTATGGAAACTATAGCTGCTGAGATATAAACGCCATCTTATTGACGTGATAAAGCTTGCAATCTAAACCTGTGTGCTACGTTATCTTTTGTCAGCTCAGCATCATCACCACTTCTTTCTAACATCCACTTGACATTGCATTGAAACCAGGAACAATAGTTCCTAGAATCCTCTTCTTTGCTCGGTTCTGGGCTGGAGTCTGCCAATGAGAGAGGGGCCCAGGGAGAGATTTGGAGACGGGAAGAGAAAAAGAGGCCTCAATTCTCTGGAGGCAGCTGCAGCTGGACCCTGAGCAGATGTGAGATGTAAAGCGGCTCTCAAGGGAGCTTTCTGAGAACCAATGGCTTTGCTGCTAGGGACTGAAATGGAGTGTGGGCTTCTCCAGAGGTCTGAAATTCACAGCAACTTCTGGTGAAAGCTCAGGAGAACCTTCCACTTGGTGTTGTATGTGAAATGGCTGGCCTCTTTGATCTGCTTCTACAGCCCTTCCAATAGTGGTGTCGACCTTTGATTTTCTTCATGCTTGAAATAGAGTGGCTTCTATTCTTGACATAACCCTGACTGATACAGCCTGAAGCCCAGTTTTGACCTCTCCATTCCACTATCTTCTCCCTCCCCTTAAAATCTAAGTCGTGGTATCTACTTGCTCAGCCAGGCCTGCAGAGCAGGGCAATATGTCATGTCTATAAGAGAGAGCTTTTACCTACCCAGCTGTATTCTGGGGAGGTAGAGCCTGCTTCCTACATTGCCTGCTCATAGGTGTCAAAGGGTGTGAGGAGACAGTAAGCTGGCCTCCTAGGAGTTGAAAGAGGCAAACTCGCATTTAGTTTCTGCCTTCAAGCACTTGTTCTTGAATGTGGGTCCTTCTACCCCTGCCCCAGACGTACTGGGTAGGAATCTGCGTTCTAACAGGGTCCCCCAAGTGACTCATTGCACTGTTTTAAGGTACAATAAATCTTCACTCTAATAAAACTGGGTCCAGTGAACATGCTGATCAGATGCCCCTCTTATCCTGGCAGGGACTAGCGAGGGAAAGGAAAGAAGTGACAGCAGAAGTGCTCGCTGCGGGTCGAGGCGGGACCGAGCAGGAGGGGCTGGAAAACACTCCTTTCTCCCAACATGCTTATTTCCTCCCAATTCAGTAATTGCGATTTTTGAGGTCCATGGATAAGAATCTTAACGTATAATTCCATCATACAGTTGACCCTTCAACAACATGGGTTTGAACCGCATGGGTCACTTTTACATGAATTTTTTATTTCAGTAAATATGTACAGTACTGTAAGTGTATTTGCTCTTGTGATTTGCTTAATATTTTATTTTTTTCTAGCTTACTTTTATTGTAAGAATACAGTATATAACAGGGGTCCCTAACTCTCAGGCCACAGAACAGCACCCAGGCCGTGACCTGTTAGGAACTGGAGTCCACAGCAGGAGGTGAGCGGCTGGCAGTGAGCTAAGCTTCATCTGTGTTTGCACCCGCTCCCCAGCGCTAGCATCACCATCTCAGCTCCACTTCAGATCATCGGGCATTAGATTTTCATAGGAGCACCGGTCTCTGATCCCAAAAAGGTTGGGGACCTCTGGTATATAATATATATAACATGTAAAATATGTCAATTGACTGTTTGTTATGGGTAAGGCTCCTGGGCAGTAGTAGGCTATTAGTAGTCAAGTTTTGGGGGAATCAGAAGTTATCCATGGAATTTCAACTGCTTGGGATAGGTGCCCCTAACCCCTGCGTTGTTCAGTGTTCAACTCTATATACATATGACATCGCTATTTTTACCACCTCTCATAAGCCTTATCCCAGCCTCGCAGATCTTCTGTGATGGCCAAACTAAAAAATGCTCCCCTCCCCTCTGCAGATACCCACCCAAAGCTCAGAAGCCTTGTTTATTGTTTTTACCATAAGAATAAGCAGGAAAAAAAGTTTGGGTAGAAGATAAGGAAGAAAGGGAAAGGGAACTCATTTTTCCTGCAAAGAAGAAGAAGAAAAAGAAGAAGAAGAAGAAGGAGGAGGAGCAGAAGAAGAAGAAGAAGAGGAGGAGGAGGAGGAGGAGAAGGGCACTCCTTCTTTTGTATGCACACACACACACACACACACACACACACACACACACACGCACGCACACACAAAGAAGGCAGAGGATGTATTCTGTGGTGGTTTTCTTAGACTCCTGGCCAACAGTGGAGTGAAACGTGTGCCCCCCAGTAGGGAGCAAGCAGTCTGTTCTGCTCTCAGTGAGAGACTACAGAAGCTGTCAGCTCACTGAGCCCATATTTCCCTCATTTTCTTATGATGTCTACTTCTCTCTTGTCCTTGGTTTCTGACACTCTTCTCTGGTGATACTCTGAGCTTCCAAAAGGCAATGGTTTGCGGTTGATCAACAGGGGAAATCACTTCCTTGATGAGCAAGCACTATAAGCTCATGAACGCTGGCTGCTCACCATGCAGCCCACCGCTCAGGTTCATCCCAGCTTGTGGGGCCAGATGGGTGAGCTGAGTTTCTCTGCCACTGTCCCTTCTTGAGACCCTTTTGACCAACTGGAATGCTCACTGGCCTCGGATACTTTTATTCCCTTCACCTGGACATTTGGCACAACCATGCTTCAAGTAGATTAGAATTACAGAGTACAAAATGGATTTTGTGTTACTCTTTTCATTTTGGGAGACAAACCTGACATCCCTTGAGTGATAACTACATAGATTTCTGGCCACTGCCATCCAGTTGTCCTCACTATTTATTCTGTAGTCCTTATAAAACCCCGTCCTTTGCTTTGTCCTGAGAGCTACATTACCACCTCTCCAGAAGGCAGCAGTACAGAAATGTGGACTCAGGAGAGATGTGTGTGTCCATGTCTTGGGCCAGAGTATTCATACATCTTTATGGAAAGTTTCTCTATCATGATACAATGTAACATGAACGATGTGCCTTAACATTGAGAAGGTAGAGTCCCCACTGGGATTTGTGTTTAGACACTTGCCACTGTGTGTTACTTGGTCTCCTAGACTAACAAAACATCTTTTCTCTTTTCTCTTCACGTTCCTTTTGGTGTCACTGTTTTAGCCTAGATGGTGTCGGAACTGACCCAGCTTAGAAATTCTGGACCCGAAACTTTCTAAAATGATCTAAGATGTGATGGCTGGTTGTCAAAAACAATTACAGAGAAAGGTGGCTTACCCTATGTTGGATGGTATATGTGATGTGACAGTTGGGTCTATGAGATGCAGTTTTCATATATAGTGGGCATGACTGCAGTGACAAATATATAAAGCAGGTGAAGGCTCTTCTTGCTGGTCAGCAAACATCAGCTCAGAACCACTTTACAGCTCTTTACCAGCAACTAAGTGCCTTTATTTACAGAGCGCCTGTCACTTCTCTTTGGCTGGAGAGCTGGTGTATTATTTAGCACACATTTATCTGGGGAAAACATTTCAATTTAAATCAGCTGGTACAACAGTGGCTCTTGCCAGACCGTTTCCCTATGGTTCTAAAACACAAGAACAGAGTCTGATCTTGGAAGGGAGGGTGAACAGAGGGAGGAAGGGTCCATTCTCAGAGAACCGCTTGAGTCAGTACCTTTAAAAAAGGAGCATGTGATTGAGCTTCCCATTATGCTTTCATAGCAAGGTGTGAAAGGAGCATCTTATAGTTTCTTCCTGCTTAACTTTCCAGCAAGGGTAACTTGTAAAGGAAAGAAAGAGGAATAAATGAGTGCTCACTATGTACCAGGCACTATAAAGGCTCAGGACACAAAGATGAGAGGGATTCAGCCTCTCACTATCCTTGAGGGTTTCAGGTAAGTGGAGAAGGCACCCCAATAAACAGTTACAGTGCAATGAAACAAGGATCAGACGAGGAAAACAGGAACACAGAGCCTCTTCATTTTATATATTTCAATGAGTTGAGAAGGCTTCCAAGAAGAGCTGACATTGGTGGATGGGTTGATACATATGGCTATTGAGCACTTCAGTGTGGCAGAATGACTGAGGAATAGGCTTTTCCCTTTTATTTAATTTTAATATATTTAAATCTAAATAGTGGCATGTGGCTAGCAACTACCATATTGGACAGCACAGGCCTAGAGCATAGGCTTGTCGCCTTGCTAAGGGTCAGGATTTATAAGAAGATG